ACACTACACACACACACACACACACACACACACACACACACATACATACGCACATGTGCGCTAATTCGAATTCATATGCAACGCCCGATTATATGATCTGTGGTCGGACTTGTTTGCCTGAAAACAAAAAAAAAAAAAACAACGGAATGTTCAAGTCATTTTTTGCACACGCACTGCACCAAATTTTGAGAGCACATATCAAATGAAACACAGTGTGTTCACGTTGCTCGGCATACTTGCACGAGCGGGGAGACAATAATATTTTCTTACTTTTCTTAAAAATGATATGTGTATATTTTTGACAATTTTTTAGAGAAAAAGCGATAGAGAAAATAGCGTAAAATTGAGTACAAAGTACAAAATATATGTAAGCTCAGATCTTCTGTGAAAATATACCGCTTTAGTATTTTATGATTGGAATAATTAACATTATTTTGTAATTTTAACAGTACTTTTTTTTGAAATGTAAATGTTTCATTTTGAAGTTATAAAATTGAGCATTTTAATTTCTTTTAGATACATGATAATATAATTATTTATTACAAAATAATTTATAATTTACTATAAAATAATGCAAATTAATTAGTTCGATTGTTTGTGAATTAGAAAAATTGATTTGTCTTCTCGTTCTAAGCAATGACAGCCGATATGATGATGTATGTATATATCTATTCATACGTCTATTCTCCCGCACTATCTTACACATGTGCAAAATTGCGTGTCGCATGCTGGCTGTCGTCAAAACAGATCGGCCGATATTAGAAAATGAGTGAAACAGCAACAATATTAGATATCCACTGAATGCGTGTGTGTGTTTTACAGTGACAGAAAACACACTCTGCACGGGACGTTCGCACGTTTTGTCCTTTCCTCTTTTCCTATGAAAAAAGAAAGATTGCAAAGAGATCTGAGCACTTCGAGAAGTGAAGTTTCGTAATTCCTGATGATCCCTTCGTTAATTGAACTACACTCTTTTCGTTCCGGAAATCCATTCATTTTAAGTGTCTTTGTTTGATAGTTTTTTACGTTTGCTTTGATCGTTTCTCTCTTTTTTCCTTCTCTTTTTTTGTCACAGTCTTTATCGGTTTTGCGACTACTTTCTTCAGACTCGTATATGTCCAACCTATGGTCCAGACTCCGTGGGAATAATGACAAAAGAGGATTAAATTTCTCGAAATCAACGCTATTTCTTTTAATATCAAACTTAAATTTCATTTAACGCTGAGTCGGATACAACATTTGAATAATTAGATTTATTTTTTTTTTATCAGACTGCTCACAAACGAAAACGGATTATTTAGATCTGTTTACACATTTAAAATATTTCTTTTTTTCTTTTTTTAAGTTTTTTTTTTAAATTGTAACGGAAAGAAGCTCGTCTTGAAATTTATTTCAGTGTTACATTAAACGATTTTTTTTCTTGTCGTTGCATCCGACGGAGTCGGATTACTCAAAAAAATTCCTGATATATCCATTGATCTAGAAGATCAGACGCGATCATCAGTTACCTATCAGTTAGTACACGCCGGATATTTCTCATCGCACCGTTAACAAATCGATTAAAGAGGTATACAAAAAAAAGATAACGGTATATCCACGTGGTCCACGTATACACAGTTGACATACGCACCACACTTGTCGAAAGACTAATTGATATCGCAGGAATGTAAGAGAACAAACGTTTCATTCAATATATAATACACGCATAGGCTCGTACACGTATAATTTCGATGACGATATGAAAATGTCCTCCCCCCCCCCCCACGGATATAGGCTGGCATACATTACTATGTTTTTACATATACGTAATTTTGCATATATTTCTCGCACTTTATTTTACACGCCCGTACGTATGTACGATCAAAAACTGTGTACCAATTCGTGATATTCAAAAAAGCTATCACATAACATGATTCGCGCGCCATTCTCGAACGTAATGATTTATTTGAAATTTTTATTATACACTCTTTTATTTTTACCTCTCGAGAACTTTTATTTTGACATTATTTTGACATTATTTGACGCAATTTCTACCTGTGCAAATCAAAACAGCATGAAGGAAGGTGACAATGCTTCAGCAGGATTAATTCTACGTTAGACTGGAATGTCTTTAAAAATAATATCGTGCCAAATGTTTATCGTTCTAAATACATAAATATCGTACAATTAAAATTCAATTGAAATTAAAATTCTTTTTTCTTATAACTATTTTTTATATAATATTATTATTTTCGAATGTTGTGAGCTAATTTTGTTGAGCGTTTAACAAAATTTATAACTAACAGAAAAAATTGTTAAATACACATTATTAATTATATTTGACGATACAAATTGTACACTTTATCTTAACTCCAAGGTTCATCCTGCTGATGCGAGTTCTCTCCATCTTTTTTCGGTATCTATTGTATGGCACAAAATGTTTTTTTCATGTATCGGTGCACAGAATTTCGTGAAAGAAAAAAATGAAGAGCCACTTCTTCTTTCCTCGAAGGATTAGAGGAAGGAAGAGGGTCGTGCCAAAGAAAAAGTAAAGAGAAAAAAAATCTCGTCTGTACGAGACACGCGATATAAGCTTGTACATACGTACGTATGTCTATCTGTCCGGCCGGTGTGTTTGTCAGTGTATGCATTGCAGTTCCATCAGCAAAACGAACAAGAACCCGCGTACAAAGCATACAAGAACACGCTGAAGTACATGAACATGTGCTTCACGGGGATGTTCACTGTCGAGTGCATACTGAAGATCGCAGCATTCGGCGTGAAGGTAGGCTCCACATACCGCCAAACATCCCTCTCTCATCGAGCTCTCGATATAATTTAAAGCGAGACTTAATTCGAGACTCTCGCCAAATCGAATCGTGCGAAAAGTGACTCCTCGCGATCGTTCCCCAAAATCAGAAGCCTAAAAAAAAAAAAAAAAATACTCTCGTCGCTGTCGAAAATAATACATTTTTTTGTCGGAATAATATTAAAATAATGTAGCATATTATAATAATATTTTGAATATATAATATTAATTCGATAAAATAATATTAGAAAAATCACTTGAAAAGATCATAAAGACGAGGATAGCAAAATTATCGTAATGATTTTATACAGTTAAATTCATTAATCAATGGTGAATATGAAGGCAAGGTTCATTGGCAGTGAAAGACGGGGAAACGTCGCGAGAGGGTTAATTTTCGTGTCACCCGGTAAGTGCCGCTTATTAGAAGGTAATTAGAAGGGGTTCTTCGCGAGTACCGATGTAACAATACGACATATCAGAACACTCTCGGTACTCCGGAGACATCCGTATATACTCTCTATCTCGCGCGTGTATATCTATACAAATATATAGAGGATACTATTTAGTGAACTTTCTGTGCGCAGGGCTGAACAAGTGCTAGATGCTGTCGGAGTAGTTGTAGCGTTTTCCATTTCTTGATATACTTTCTTACTTGAACACATAGATATGTATTTCGATAGAACTAGAATGGTATTTTTCGATGGTGTTCCTCTGTGCAAGAATACAGCTGCAAGATCTAGATAGAAACTTTGTCTTTATTACTCGTATTTGTTGTTCCGACTTTGGAACTCTGTATAAAATAAACTCCACAAGTACTTTAGTATACAAAAAATGCTCAGCTCTGTACACGTGATCGAGCTTCAGGGCAATCTGGGGAGATTCGAGATATAAATACATCTAAGGTACTTGAACTCCCCTATTTTTATTTCCGAAATGTGATTCTAAACTTTTTTTTTTAATTAATGCTAAATGAAATGGACAATGTGAATAGTTTTGGTTCCATTTGCATTCATTTTCAAGTCATATTATTTAATTAATTGTCTATTTTTTACTTTTATGAGCTTTGTCTTTAAAAAAATTTTTTTGATGGCTCTTTAGTTTATATAAAAAATCATAATTGATCGCACACAATTAATTGAATCATTTTTCATAAAAATAAAGTAAAATTAATTAATCAGATTGTATTTATCACACACATATACATAAAATACAATAAAGAAAGACAAGAATATACAAATCTTCCCAGATGTCCTACATAATTACACTGAATACTACATCAATTACATAACGATAACGGGATTAAGTCATTAATTATAAATTTATGATATTGCATTTTTTATTTTTATTAATTTCTGTATGTTTAGCGAAGCATTAATTCACTCTTGTTTCATCCCGTTATCATGAAAAAAAAGCTAACATACATTGACAAGGTTCTGAAAAAATTTAAAATACGATTAAATTTTTACAGAATGCTAATATCGATTGTCACATCGATTGTCTCTTTCTCACACACACACACACACACACACACACACACACACACACACACACACACACACACACACACACACAGATATTCGATGGTATTAAATACTCTAAAGCGAGTCTTTCTTCAAAAACTTAAGGTTATTAAAACTAATACAATAAATATGTATTATTTTTATTATAATTATGCTACTCATTTAACGAAATATAAATGATAAAATTTATAATTTATTAACAAGAGTACGCTCTTAGAGTTTTAATTAATATATAATTAATACAAGCACACGTAGTGAATAATTATACTTACAAATACACAGACATAAAGATTTATATATCGTACACCTTCATATAGCACTCATGGACACTTAAACATGACGAATTGAAAACATAAAACTTACGGGTTATTGTCATATCGGATTATTTTCAATTTTATCTATCTTCATTATGTTTTTTATCTATTTCTTACTCTACTCTTTGTCCCTGTTTCTCTCTCTCTTTCTCTCTCTCTCTCTCTGCCTTTGTCTCTCTTTCACTCTTTCTCTATTATCTTTTGTTTTTTCTCATTATATTGATTTTCCGAAATACTTTCAACTGAGAACACGGAACGGGCGGGGAATATATTCAAGAAGAAGTCTCGAAGGCCGAGAAAAGGTGTACATAAAGAAAGTTTCGTTTTTCTAACATCCCTTGCATGCTTTGCTCGTATTTTGTCTGCATCCGCACGTAATCACTTGCACGGTCTGATATACTTTTGACTCCTTGCATGCGTATATCACAATTACTTATGACTGCGTATTGTGGGTCGAGAATAACAATAATGGCAATGACGACAGCGATAAATGAAATATATACATTTTGGGGGAGAAAATAGCGAAAAGTGGCTCTCTTTAAAAATGCACGAACATGTGCTTTAGTCATTGCAATCACTATAGAAAGGGTAATGACAAAGAAAGCTCGAAGAACATATATATGTGCGCTAAAAATAAAAGTCAAAAGAGTCGCAAGTAGCGCGCTGTAAAAAAAAAAAATATTCTATATATTTTATACATAGACATAAACTAGCATAATGTTATCTATTATCATTCAAATCCAATAATGTGTTTTAAACTCCAATAATAAAAATGATGATAATGATGATGGTGATAATAATGTTGATGAGAACAATGATTTATGGTAATCATAAGGAGGCTAAAGCTGAAAAGTCGCGAAAGCACTTTTCGGTCCTATTCGCCGCACGCATGCTATTGTATTGTGAAAAAAAGCATTAATCTTTGTCCCACACGAGCACACATTCAGCACACATGGAATTAAACGTCGTATTTTACATACACATATATATCGATCGAGACTTATGTATTACATATATGACAAATCTCTTAAGAAATCATCTTGTAATAGATTGGTTAGACTTGCTTGGTAATTTGGCAGGGAGAAGAGATAATTTAGAAAAAGATGAAAGACCAAACTTAATTATTTTAATTAGAGAAATAAGTTTATTAAACATTATATGTATTAAAGTATCGTTGTTTAATATACACCAAATATTGATTTCTAATTTGACATATTTTAGTATATAGTTTTTATATCTTTTCCTAAATTATAATTATGCTATATACTAAAAATATGGTACAAACATAGTACAATTTCATTTGATTGACAATCTGCCAAATTGTAACTGAAGTTGCGTTTGATTAGGAAATTGTTTGTCGAACAAGTTTCTATTGAAGTTTACGAATGAAATATTTTTAATAAATCAAAATGTTTTTAATGGGAAGAAAGATAAAAAGATAGAAAATTATAATTACCAATATGTATAGAATAATAATAATAATAATAATAATAATAATAATAATAATAATAATAATAATAAGAATAACAATACTACGTAAACATATTTTTCGATTAAATAGCATTTATCTTGTACAAAAATTATGTCTCCTCTCCAATCCAATAGCAATATTCTATCCGGACAAGAAAAATAGATGAAGGGAGCGATCGGAATACAGAAACTAATTAATTAAAAGAGGACGAAGAGATATATACTTATAGATATATATGCAGGGCGCACAAAGGAATATTAGAGTCTGCGTTGTGTTACGTCTGTGTGTTGGGTGTATTTTGTAGTATCACGATGCGCCGGCAGTTTTATTGGACTTCTTGACCTACGTGAACTTGGTCGTCACTCTCCTTTTCCTCATTGAGTGCATCCTTAAACTCGTCGCCTTCGGATGCAAGGTATAAACAAGCCTCTTAAATCGCTCTCTAACTCCATCTCACTCTCACTCGACTCACACTGCAAATTTTTATCACTTGTAACTCCACCGAGAGATTAACATCACTCACCGGTCGTCATTGATTGTGTGATTTTACTGGTCGGAGGATTCTCTTGAAGAAAGTGGGGATCCCAAGAACTGGCGAGAGGAACGGAAGGGAACACATCGAGACATCGCGAAACTGTTTGTCGCGAAAATGAAAAGTATTATAAAGAGTACTTTTAAGTAAGACTTGTCGAGATTTTAAGTAAACTTGTGATATATGAAATTCTTACTTTTGAATGGGCATTCGAGAGGTAGCGATTGCCAGAAAACAGGACAGCATCATTTGCGAGATTAAAATAAAGTGATACAAAAATTATATTGTATTTTTTAAATTACTGAAAATTAACTAGATGTAAAATTTTTTTAAGTCGTTAATATAAATATTATTAGAACTATTGCGAGACAATACTAAATAAAATTTTTAAATATAAATAAGTTTAGTTACTTTAAATAGAAATTAAGAGTTCAATCTCTCTCTCAGGCATCATAAAATTATTTTTAAAAGAAATTTTTATACATTACTAGATTACTAGAAAGTAATGCTACAGATCAAAAGGTTTTTAAATAAAAACAGCGTGTTTTTGTTGAGAAAAAGGTGTTCGAAAATCAACAAATCAGCTTTTTGATGCAAACTTCACAGAAGAAATTTATGAAAATTAGATAATTAATTCTTAGATAGTTGCTTTTTCATATACTGCGTAATATCCAACTGATAAATCTTATTTTCTGGCAGTAAAAGTAGAAAAATGTTGAATATCAAGTTCGCGTGTCTCTATCTCTCTCACTCTCTCTCTAGTTTGCTTGCTATTACCGGCATGCTCCCGTAGATATGTCTCTAGAAGAGATCCCGTCACTTATACTCCAGCCGATTATCGATCATCAAAGCGTATAACTAAACGCTTTAAAAGAAATTCTTCGAGCAGATTTCTTCATTTACACGGATTTTGCTTTTGAAGTATTTTAAGCTTTACAATGATGGATATTTCTATCTCTATTATATAAAAAATTAAAAGAAGAATATACTTATTTCTTACTGCAAAAAAATTATATAAGAATATATTTCAGTGTTTGTTTGATATCGAAAGATATTAAATTTATTACAAAATATTAAAATACAAATATTTTTATATTTTGAAATAAACAATTATTACTTTTAATAATTAAAGTTAACTAAAAATTAATCTCCTACATTTTTAAATAAAGTAAAATCGTTAATTCATGAAACATCTGTTTGAATAAAATTGATTAAACAATTGATTGAATAAAAATGATTTGAATTTTATTTCACGCGAAGAAATCTGATCAATGACCATTATTAACATTCAGGAGCACTGTTCAGAGAGACACACGTTACAGAATTTCAAGCTAATAAGTATTATACGTCCATGTAAGGAGTGCTCACACACAATGAACACAGACACGCACACAACACATATATACAGGCACTCTTACACACAAATAAATAGCGTATATATTCACAAAGGAAGCAGATTGTGCTATATTTTTCTTGTATTTCAAAGTCGGACTTGTAGTTTCTTCTTTAGTGGTAGCTACGCAAACATCTCACCAACACTTGAACTACATCCAAGTTCGTTCAATAGATTATCGATTAATAATTAGTCTGGATTATTTACTTGTTTGATTAATTTACATAAATCAAGACATAATGAAGAACTTGATAAAAAAAAGAACAATATATTATTTATCGAGGATGAATTTGCTTATATTGTTTTTTAAACAATATAATAATATTAAATACATACATAATAGACTTAAAAAATGTTTTTATGAAAAATATTAACAGAAATTTAAATATGTCTTCTGTATAGATTATCATTCACATTCACAAAGAGAATACGTAGAACTTTATTTTAAAATGATATTTTGAAAACTTGAATTCATAATTTTGTCTAAAAAGTTATTGGACTAAAAATTAGGAAACGTCTATTTTATTCATTTATCTATACTTATTCTTTTCTTTTTTTTTAATTGTACAGTCAATTTCACTTATTTACAATTTATTTTCTATTCTATTTTGTTGTTCTTCATAATGTCTTGGTTTTAATTGTGATTGCTCATATATAAAAATCATGTACGATAATTAGAATTTTGATCTGCATCTGTTGGATGGAAGATGTCGAAGCTATTTAGCGAACTTTGGAGTAGTAGAAACAAATATATTCTATTAGAGACGATGAGACTACTTTGCTAATAAATTCTTTTGACTGTTCCGCGAGCAGAACTTCTTCAAAGACTACTGGAACATCTTTGACTTCATCACAGTGATCGGCAGCATCGTGGATGCGCTCGTGATCGAGTTCGGGGTACGTAGAGCACCGGAGAGTAGCGGGAAAAAGAGTATAAGTGTGTTAATTGCGTACTAGCTATTTAAACCTGTAATAGAACTCTTCCAGGTATGCATATGTAATCGGGGACCTTCTGAAAAACCCGAGGCTAGGCTGTGATTATGATGGTTGCTTGTTCTAACGAGAAGTCATTCCGATGAAGTCAAACATTAGAATTGATCTTGCAATGTTAACGCAAAACAAAGTAAAGTAACGACCGATAAAATAAATAGATGAAAAATTTTATATTTTTTGATCTATTTATATTTTTGCATCTATTTATGAAAAAAATAATATAAGTGTATAAGTTGAAAGAACATTATTCACAAGAAACGTTTAACTACTTTGAAAGTACTATTGATTGTTGAAAGTTAAGCGTAGAAGATTTATATACATAAAAAATTAAAACTAAATTTTTTTTAATATTTGAATATATATCATTACACATCTATCGCGGAACGAAATTTTTTTTAATCTTGGCAATATAATGCCAAAGTTAAATTGTTTCAACATGCTAGATTAATTTCCACGTTTGAGATGAATTTGTCGAAATGCGCTTCTCGTTGGAACATGCATCTATGATAGTGATCCTTAATCGTCGCGGCAGTGTTGCTTGATGTGTACCTTTACCTTTCGTTTAACCCTTTTGCTGCTTATTTAGATTTCGTCGTATAAAACCCGTGTGACAAGTTAGCAGGTAAATTACGACAACTGAAGTATCTTTGTATTACCTTTTAGCTTCGTGCTGCATTCATACGCTACGTACATCACACTGTACATCATTTGCACAGTTATACATTTACGCAGTTATATAGTGAAACAAGCTACATGTATATACACAAACATGAACATGTTTCCGATACCAATCCTATCCGTTCTTCGTACTAGGAACATTTCTTTCTATATCGATATTTTGTGACTTAGATTAATCAATGTCAATTGTAGTTTAGAGATAGAGAAGAAACAAATATTGTGTGGGATATTTATCTAATTTCTTGATTACTTCTCAAGTTGATTTCTCAATTTCTTTTCAAATCATACGGTGATGTTATTTTAATTATTCCAATTTCCATTGATGTAGCGATTACGATCTAGCTAATAATATATGTAGAATATGAATTATATTATTTGTGACTCTCGGAAGAATATCCAGTAAAAGTTTATGTCAAAAATTTATATATTTACTGCCTGCGCTTGTAAAATATTTTTCATAAAGATATGTTTTGGAAATATAAGTAAGAAAATAGCTAGAATTATCGTGAAGTGAGTATTGGTCCTGATATTAAAGTGAACTGCTTACGAAGTTATCGTCGCCAGTGTTGCCAGTCATTAGTATTACTGTTCTTATTGTAATTTTGCCAAAAGTTGAACGATCAGAAGTTCAATATTGGGGATAGAATAATCTCGCAATCTCGCATATTTCTGTAATAGGGGGAGCGGCCGAGCATGCCCACTGGTGGCCAGCTAAGCGAAAAGAAGGTATAAAATTACTATCCAGTTTTTACGTTGACGACATAAGTTGGAAGAAATTACGATGTTGCAAGTACAGAATTATTATTAAATACCGCAACTCTGAATTTAGTTTTTACAATGATATATAGTATATATAACTTGTTTTACTATATAAGTAAAATAGCAAATAAATCTTTCTTTGTAATAATTCTTTCTTGAGAAACTATATTATTTCGAGTATAGATATTTTTATATGATATTTTATATGACTATATGATATTATTCTCAACATGTTAGGAATAATTATGGTAAATTTGCAAATAATAATGCAATTTAATTACAAGCAAGAAAAAAGAACTGGATTTTGAATATAATGTTTTATATTATCGAGGCTCTTTCTAGGTTATATTTAGATCAAATCATTTTCATCTTTTTTTTTTTACCATTTCCATTTACTTATCCTGTGCATGAACTTTACATAATACATAAACATAATTTTTACATAATACAAAAACTATTCGTACATTACACTAGCTTCAAACAATTTACAACACTAATCCCACGAATTTAATTGTTACATTACCGGATTTTGAAGGCATATGGATGCGATGTCTAATTTATCTAATTTATCTCGAACTTAATTTATTAATTATTTTTATAACGCAATAGTCGGGACACGATTAGATTGTCACAGCAAAAGGGTTAATGCATTGCAAGTCCACAATTGCATTACAAGTCCATAAATAAAATTGCTGAAGCTTTATAGTAAAATATAATTTTTTATTATGTAAACTTGAGAATCATCAATGCATATATTTAAAATTAATTCCTTTAAACTTGATATTGAAAAATTAATTAAACAACTGCATCATAAATCTATTAATAATAGAATCAATTTACTTAAATTTGTATTAATATGGAATTAATTAAGTTTATAAATTATTTTTAACGAAAAGAACACCGTTAGTTTAATATACTGAAATACAACAAATATACAATTACTTATTTGTTTAAAAATATATCCTATTTATTTCCGTGGTGATGCCAATGATTAATAATTATTAGTAGCTCATGTTACAATTCGTCCTTCTTTTTTTTTTTGGGGGGGGGATGATCTTGTATCTCTAAAAGAATCCTGTTAAATTCTTTTGAGATTCCGTTTTAATTCCGCGTTTTTGTTTTTATTCCGCGAGAGAATGTCACGGAATTTAGTCTATAGCTTCGTTCGTGCATCGCCAAGGGTAGGGAAACGTAGCACGCCGAAAAAGGATTGGGATGTCCTTTGACGCGTGACACGCAACGCCGAAACGCTGCACGCACGAAGCTCCGTTTCTGGTGCGCGAGAAGGAGTCGGCATTTTTTGGGGTTAAGTGCAATTTCCTCTGTCCCCTGCAGGAGAACTTCATCAACGTCGGCTTTCTGAGGCTCTTTCGCGCCGCTAGGCTGATCAAACTACTTAGGCAGGGATACACGATACGAATTTTACTCTGGACCTTCGTACAATCCTTCAAAGTAAGCACGTTTTGTTAAACTAAAGAACTGATATTAATTTTTTTTTTTTATTATTATATTTATCTTCGGTTTACGGTTTACATATCGACAGAAGTTATTATCTCTTATCTTTTAACATTTTTTACATTGCTACAAATTAGCCTCAAGTGCTACAAATTTATCACTAATTTCTATAAATATGATTAATTATCGAGATAACGATGAGATAAAAATCTATCTTCTTCCAGGCTCTGCCTTACGTTTGTCTTCTCATAGCGATGCTGTTCTTCATCTACGCTATCATCGGTATGCAGGTATGAATCTTCTGTTGCTTCAATTTCTCGAGAAGTTTTTACGAATTGGTCCCTTAAACGCGGTTTTGGGGAATGGTGTGCAGAAGAGTGCAGGATTGAAGTAACGTAATCATTAGGGATTTAGTTCAATAATAATAGTCTGATAATAAATTTAAGAATTTAATAAAATTAGAAATTATAATCAAAAGTATAGGATTAGAAATATTATTATATAAAATTAGATGTGAAATACCGAACAATAATTATTTTAATATATTTTACGTGTAGAAAACAGATATAGAATTGTCTGATTTTATATAGAGAAAACTTTTGAATTTTTACCATATTATTTTATTCGGGAGAAATAGTAACTTCTTTAATTGATTCTTTGATTAAAAACATGATTGGCTAATGATCTTCAAGATCGATGCCTATTTACAAAGTAAAGAATTATTGTTACTAGCGCTAGCTAATGTTATTTAGATATTTTTCTAAAAGCTAAAATTATAATTATCTTAACTTTGACTTGTGGGTGAGAAACGACGTGTCGAAGTGATCTCGGAATAGTTTCGGACACGCGTAACCTTGCAGATTGGGAATTTTAAGTGACAAACAGCAGATTCCCCCGGTGACCATTAAGTGACCCTGAAATTGTCCGTTGTCAGGTCTTTGGCAATATAGCGAACGATCCGGAAACAGCGATCGATGATCACAACAACTTTCAGTCCTTCTTCGCCGGTCTTATGTTGCTTTTTCGGTGAGTCGAGCAGCTAGATTGACTGCCAGTTCGACGGCGACGAATGAGATTACCTCCGGCCAATCACCGGCTGGTCCAACTGTCGTTGCTCTTTCGTACAAAGAGACATGTTCTGAAAGAAGCTAATGCTTTTGTCTTCTTTTAAATTCCGGAAGAAATGTTCTTTATTTATCAATTTTTATCTTTGTACTTTATTTATCAAACTTTGTACGTGAAAAGGGAACGATTTTGGCGCACAGCTGGCTCATGCGATCTTTCACGACGTTTCGCAGAATGTATATATCCCAAAAGAATTTTACAGCATTATGGGAAATTAACATAAGGGGAAGGTTACTTAATGGTTTACTGATCATGCGTTACAATGGTAAATCCGTTTTTTTAAATATTTTACAATATTCTTCTTTCTTCTTTTGTAACAATTGCTTTGATAGAAAATTAGGCTTCAGTATTGACCGTAATATACATTGATCATTGGCCGTTGTTTTCATTGAAGCCCATTCCCGGCGAAACACCGTTAAAGGTCTTGCGTGATGCTGATGGGAGATACATCGTCGACCGTAGAGCGAGAAGTTAAAGGGAATATATATAAAAGTGTGATCGTCGTAAATTACTTCTAGAATAATGCTTTGTTGGCATGAACTGTAACGCGAGAGTAAGCTGCTCGACGTGTTAATCTGTTGTGACTCACCCCAGTTAGTAAAAGTCCTATAGAAAAGCTGTTCCATATAGTGATGCTTGCGTTAAAGTCTTGAAATTTTGATTAAGGTGGTGCTTGAGAGAATAAGTTTCATTAATAACATTAGTTGATATTTTATTTGTATCATATAGATTTGTATCATATGTGTGTAATTTTTCATACACTTATATTGATAATTAATGGTTTTGTCATGGAATTATTAGCAAAAGTTTTATTCTCAAAATACTGATTCTTCAGAACAAGTCAGAGTTATTTTCAATAAGATGAGATGAATAATTTTATCATTTATTTAAAAACAAATTTTATTTATCTCAATTCTCTCGGGTACACCGTGTATTTGTTGAAAAAGAAGTATGAAGAACTGTAGTTAGAGAAAATGGAATTCTATGATACTCATTATACACGCATACACAAAACCGTGATCGAAGCGATACAAAGATTGAAAATTGTCACCCAGTGAGAAGGAAAGCAGAGGACATACCGATTATTTCCATTTGATTTTTCGTTATTATTTAAAAAAAAAAAGTACATTTGGTGACGCAAATTTGTAATGCCGCTCGTGCCTTTTGGCTGCGGCCCTCTTCTTTCTGTGGGTCTCAGGTATTCGGTAACATCAGGCTGGATCCTGACACTTCTATTACCAAGCACAACAATTTCCAAAGCTTCATACAAGGTCTGATGCTGCTTTTTCGGTAAGTAACGTCACGTTAGAGGAAATCTAGCTAACTGTTTAGCCATTGAATTTGACCACGTGACTATGAGCGCGATTTGCAAAATGATCGAACGAGCTTTCACGCTCAACACCTGCGGCAAGCTATCTATCACTTATGATTTTGTTACGATTTGCGAGAGCACAATACGGAAGATATTTTCCGAGTTTTCTCAAACTGCAATGCAAAAGCAATCTTTGGTGACGTCCACGTGACAAGGACTTAATTAAATGAATTGTTTTTATATAATATTAATCATGTATATCACAAATTTTGCAATAATTAATTGACTCGACGAATTGACTTTGTTTTGTACAAGTTATTAAAAAATTTCAAAGTTTTTAATATTATACTGATATTTTCAATACAATACGTCCAAGAAAATTAATTATTCTGAAATTCTCAAAAATATTCAGAACATTTTATTAAAATTATATTTAATCAAAAATAAAAACTACTATTCGAATAAAAAATGTTAAGCCGTTTAATTTTTGAAATATGACTTTCGCTAATTCTCACGTTGAGCGTCCCAATTATCATGAGACTGTCGCGGAATCTTTTGATTCATTTAATTCGTATTATTTCCGGATGTATGTTCACAGCAGGCCTTTTCGCTTCGATCCAACCACATATTACTGTAAAGTTCCCAGCACTAAATTGAGCGCAAAAACAAGAATCAGGCTAAACGACACGGCATATTCAGAGCAAACAGAATACACAGCAGCCTCGAGTAGAATTGAGTTCGCTGTATTAAGTTCGCAGTATCTAGATTGCTTTTGATGTTGCATAAAATGCCAAGCCTTGTGCATGCCGCGCTTGTGAAGTGACTGGGCCCAATTGCTTGCTCTCCTCAGTCTCGAAATAGAATACTGTTCGTTAAAAAATTACTGATTACTCAAAGCAAAGAAACAAAAGAAAATTCTTACTCCTATACAATTTTATATGCAAATACGTGCATCTGGAATTTTTTTACAGGACTGAGGCGATTATAGAAATTAAACCCAAAATACGCTTTAAAAAGGCAATGTTGTTCATTGAAATAGCGCATGAATTTTTGCAAATATTAATTTGGCTTTTTACGATTGCATAAAAACGTTATTTAAAAATATTAACTTGGGGATGTCCGTAGTATAGAAAAAAACCATAGGATAGATAATCGCGAAACAAATTTGTTTGCGATGAAATTGAATTATTTTCTAATCTTTTTTTCTTAACAATACAACATTAAATACTAATATCTCTCATTGTCAATAATTTTCTATCTTACATTAAAATTCGAAACACAATTTTCGAAACGTAATTTTGGCATGCCTAACTTGGATTGCTAACTTGAATTGAAACTATTATAGAGTTCCTGTTGGACTGTTGTGTATTAAATTACTACAAAATAGAATTCCGATTTCTTAATATAATTACGTATCAGAAACGGATTTGTATGTAGCCGTATCTATTCTCAGGAACAACAAGTCGCTTGTAACTTTCTAGAATAACAACATGGCAACTTCGTTGATCGTTTAACATTGATCAACTTAGAGTTGGAAGGTCTGCATGCGGATGAGAATATTAATATTAAATATAATTGCGGCTTTTCTGGCGGATGCGATGCGCTAGATCGCTGAATTATATATTCACTTGACTCGATTTGACATGAAAAGCGTAACAGAAGCTCAAGATAGATTTTCCTCAGGTGTGCCACGGGCGAGGCTTGGCCGAACATCATGCTGTCCTGCGTAAAGGGTCGTCTCTGCGACGCGAAGGCCGAGAAAGAGGAGCCGGACGGCTGCGGCTCCAATATCGCCTACGCTTACTTCGTGTCGTTCATCTTCTTCTGTTCGTTCCTTATGCTGAATCTTTTCGTTGCCGTTATTATGGACAATTTTGATTACCTCACGCGGGACTCGTCAATCCTGGGCGCGCATCATCTCGACGAGTTCGTGCGGATCTGGGCCGAGTACGATCCGAATGCTACCGGCAAGATCCACTACACGGAGATGTACGACATGTTGAAGAACATGGACCCGCCGTTGGGGTTTGGCAACAAATGTCCGAATCGGCTCGCGTACAAGAAGCTCATCAGAATGAATATGCCGGTGGACGGTGACGGCAAGGTGAACTTTACCACAACGCTGTTCGCCCTGATTCGCGAGAATCTCAGCATAAAAATGCGATGCGGTAAGTTCGTTAGAATTTACAGGGCATGAAAAAAGATGTGAAAATGGTTGTCGTTGTTTCGCAGAAAGCAAAAAGTGGAAAAATAAATGCAATCATTCTTGATTCTTGTATCTTATTTTTTAAATGGCTAAAAATGATTTAAGAAGATTTTTAATATTATTCATTCGTTTTTTGTTTTAAATTGAAATTATTTTTTAAAATTTATAGCACATGCACTTGCAAGATAATAATATATTTTATAACGTTAATATCTTCTTATATACTTTTTTGTTATGATTGTAATTATTGAGGTAATAATATTATTTCTGTATGTTGTTTCAGCTGACGAAATGAATCAAGCCAATGAAGAACTGCGGGACACAATCAGGAGTATTTGGCCTTTACAAGCGAAAAAGATGTTGGATCTTTTGATACCTAAGAACGAAGGTAAAATTCGATCTTCTCTATTTAATGAGGCACATTTCGCAACTTGACAATAATCGCGCAATTTCTTTCTTTTCAGAATTAGGCAGAAATAAGCTCACCGTGGGTAAGATATACGTCTGCTTTCTGATACTTGAAAGTTGGAGGTCGACGAAGTTTGGTCAGCTAAAGTCTGCTGAACAGGTGAGCCTCTTTCTCCCTTTTTTTTTTTTTCAAAATATTTTTAAATAGCAGGTCCTAGAAATATATTTTTAGTATTAAGTTTTTTTGTGATCCTTTAATTACGATTCTCTCATTCGAATCTGCTTTAAATTAATTTAATTTCCTTGTTTCAATTTAACAAATTAATTAAATGTAATTAAATGTAAGCGTCTAAATTTTTATATGCAAAAATAAACAATTTGTTAAGTGAATATTTCATCTTGTGCCTTTTAAATTTTCGCTGCAAAAGAATCGGAAAATCGAATTTGAGGATCTCAATTAAGAATGGAGTTCGAGCGAATGTTTATCATCGCTTTTCTTCATGATAGGACATATTGCGTGCAAATAAGATTCAAAATAGAATATTTCCCGGAAGTCTCACGTAGTCTCATAGTTCGATCATAAATTTTAAAATCGTCACGAAAGTTTTTCAAGTATAAATAGATATATTTCTAATGAAACATAGATACATTTAACGAGTTAATTTAGATTTATTAGAGTTTGTTAAATCATATGCTAAATTGTAATCTTAACAAAGAATATGTTTTTAAAGATCATTTACTTAAAGATAAATCTAATCATATAAAAGAATAAAATAGGAGAAAGAAAATAGTATCTTTTTATTTGCTTCGTACAGGCCCATTTTGTGGAACAACAAGAAACAATAAACTATTTAGTCAAATCATTTATACAATTATTCTATTTATGTATATTAGTTAAGTCAATGTTTGTAGAAATAATTAGATCTTATTCGAATATAGTATCTCGAAATTTGTGCAAGTAATTAATATAGATTATCTGTCATCAATCTATCAATTGTTGTGTATTAATTTATTTTAGAATAATTTATAATGATCATATAATCATTATTTTAAAATCGACATTGAAAAAAAAAAACATTTATCATCAAATCATTATTCATTAAATATTTCCTTTTGATTGCAATTGATAGATTGGAGCGGCAATATTTGTCTATTATAGATAGCCTGAAAATTCTGAATAGATTTTTAATTAGATCATTAGATAACAGAAGACACAATATTTTTATTATTCTTTTTTTATTGGAAATCTCTAAAATGAGAGAGAATAGGCATTTTTGAAACGGATTAATGACATCTAAAGAATAGTAACAATTAATATAGTTAATTTATTGATTGAATTATTTTTTTTTTAATATACTCAAACCGAAAGGATAATCACACAACTTTCAATCATCTCCTTGTATCTTTTCTCTTTGTTTTCCAGAACGATAACGATCTTATCGATAACGATAATGCTGGGCAAAGTCCTGCAGCCCAGGCGGTAGTACTTACTTTTTCTCTTATTATCTTATCTTAACACTGTTTCGTTTTTTTTGGTCTGTACGATTTGTGTTGAAATTTTAATCACATTCGTCCGTTTTGCATTAAATACGTACTGCAAAAGTTTCTCCTCAATCTGTTTACCGATCTTTATATTCTAACATTTTTATAAAAATAACTTATTGCTTAAGAAACGAAACGAATCTTTTGCAGCATATAATTTATTTTCTTTTTTGTAAAATAACACTCCACAATCCAATTTTTCTATTTCACTCTTTACACGCATTATCCAGAGGCACAAATATTGCATGAAGAACAATGTTTCACGAAGTGCGATTGACGAATTATTTTTTTATTTTTGAAATAAATGCTGACATGACAACACTTTCTTTTTATCTCTTTAATATATCTTTATTAATTAAATATTTACATGAAATACTTCAAACAATACAATCTGTAAAATAAATAATTTTATTTTTAGTTATATATAATAAGACTGCTGTGCCTCTGGCATGTTTTTTTTCTACAATTAACACCGCACACAATCTTTTTTTTCACTCGTCATAAGTGTACATGATTACTTTGGATCTATCTTTTGTTTGTGTAAAGTAGCCCTTTATTTATTCACTAATATGATACCAGACACACCTAATACATACTACATAAGGATATAACGAAACAGCTATTTTTGCCATTATTAATGTCATATAAAATTATTATTATAAAATTATTATATAAAAATAAATTCAATGAGTAACACGCACGACAAAGAATTATATTAAAATTTCATTTTTTAGTCCACTACAAATTTCAGAATTAATTTCAATTTCGCAAAATCTCAATATAAAATTGTTTCATTACAATATATAAAAATATTCTTTAAATTAGAAAAAATATCGAAATTTCGAAAAATTATGAAAATGTATGTTTGCATATTTCCAATAATATATAAATTTATGAAATTTAATTTAAAGAACGCAAAATATCCAAAGTCAAAAATAAAGAATTAGATTAACGAAAAAGGATAGCAAGAGGATAGATAGCTGTTTCGCACACAATTTGAAATTAAACACGGCAATACATTTTAATCTATCTTACTTAGGCACTTATCATGTTAGACATGTAATATCTAATAGATCTTTAATCAGGCTCGTACACGAGCTAGTCTTTAGACATTTAGCGCCTTTCTGATGTGGAAAGGTTTTTTTTTTTTTTCTTTTTCTAATCGCACGTTTCCTTTTGTCAAGCTAGTTTAGGATAACGTCGAAGAATAGCTCTCTCTCTCATTTCGATCTATATATCACAAAGGGAAGGTGATCTCTTCTCCTTGATGACTCTCTTGGCGAGGTTCCGCGCGGTGCGAGAAGCTCCCGCAGTGATATATACGATTGTAATATGTTTGTCAGAGTTGTTTTTTAGTCGTGTTGTTGCCGACACGTGGGTAACACGTGGCTACGTACGCACGTGTATGCGCGTGTAGATATATCGGCTCTTTGTCAACCGGCAATACGGTATAGCTGTGTGTAAGTAAGTCACCTCGTAGAGCGCCTCGTTTCTCGAGCCTATTTAGAGCGAGAAGTAGCCCGATGAGTCGATCGATTTTCGAACGTATACGTATATATATACAATATAGCCCGCCTTTTGCCTCAGTCTACGACAATCGCCTCTTAGATATATACACTCTTTTCTTGCTAAGCAAGCCTTCTTTCGGTTAACTAAACGTATAGTTGGCGACAGCCGATTCTAGAGCGTGACGTAGAAACTTCCTTTTTATTCTGCCGGATTTTGTCCACTTTGCTCACGAGCAAACGTTTTGACGAAACATCTCTTTCCTTTATTTAGTTTGATGCGAACCTTTTAAAGTAGTAGAATTACGTTGAAATTACGTTGCTCCAAGCATTAACTTCGCTGCACAAGCTCAAGTAACACAACATTCTAATAATAAAAAAATTATTAGCTATTAGGGAATTCCTCTCTATTGATGGGATAATAAGTATCTAACTAGTAACAATTAATAAAATAAAAATAAAAAATTACAATTATTAATTTTATTATTAGGAAGTCGTTGTGCTGTTTATACAAGAATGTCGATTGCCTCGCTTGATCTTAATAAGAAAATAGATTCGAGGATCATCTAATGTCTAAGCAAGTAAATTCAAACGTGACGAAAAAAATTTGAATTTGAAAATTTTTCATTTCTCTTTTCTTAGATGCTAGATAATCCAAAAATATCTTTTTCTTATGATGCGAAGTTTAATGCGGCAGCTAATGATAACGCTCCTGCAAGCTAATGCCGAAAAAATTCTTTTTTTCTGGTTTCTTACGACTTTTATCATAGTAGTGTAGAGGAGAACTAATAGGCACTTTTTGACCAGTGATTTCAGCAGTAGACTCGTAGACTTGCCCAATTTATCCGATCGCTTTCTACTACTAGAACAATTTTCCGCTTTCTACTAGAGCAATTTTCCGCTCTTTCAATTACACGTTACATGTCACTCACTCTCTATATTATATACACGCGCACTGACACAAAGTAAATCAGCCTTAACGATCTCTAATATAATAAATTAAATTCTTTTATACAACGCAATAATAATGGCCGCAATTTAGCGAATAACCTAAAAGACCCAAGAATTTCCGCAAGAATTTCGATAAATTGCTCCTATAAATCGCGAATCATCGGCGAGCAATCGGACGTATTTCGATTTGACAGAAATGATACCGTAAATATTAATTAATAAATATTTCGTAAATATTACTCAATTTCTTTATGACAACTTCTAACTCGCGATAGATAAAGAAGATTTATTCGCATTTTATTTATTTGCATTCTAAATGTCTTTCGATAGTCTACAATTTCTATTTTTACAGCAAGCACTCGACTCAAAGTCACTGACTTTTGGAGGATGTCCCAAAAGTGTTGGTTGCTAAAGCATTTATGAAAATTCTTGCTAATTAATCATTTCTTAATTTCACGAGAATTCGATGAAGAAAATAATCACAGTTAAAAGACGTACTATAATTTTGGGACATCTCACATATCAGCGGCATGTTCCAGATTCCTTAACCCTGGAATATATTTCTACTTAGACGTTTATTGCATACCAAGCAGCAGAGTTTCAATTTTGTCCACGGTTATCTGTATGATCTTTATGGAGTGAACTACCCGTGTTCTATCTCGTAAATTATGACACTAATGATAATAATAATAATAATAACAATGACGCAAAAAGAATATTAATATTTACGATTATTATGTAATGTATGAAATAGTGCTGTGCAGTATGTGTAGATGTGGTAGAACAGCGGGACTTCACTCGTTTTATGCATGCTTACTAACAATTGCCTTCTTGCAGTATTGTTACATCTCTTAAACGCGATTAACCGCGTTTACTTACTAACGCATTTGTGTCCACTTATATAACACTTTTTATATACGAAGGAGAAAGAGGAGGTGTAACATTTCTTTTTCTCTCTCTTTTTTTTTTTTTTCCCCCCCTAATATATGTAACATAGTCTCGATCAACATATACAGGCTTTGCGACACATTAAAAAAAAAAAAATTTAGCCCCGCTGCAATACCGTTTACCGCTATTGTTTTGTAATTCTTGCATCACACACGTTCTCTCGAGTGTATACGATAGTCCGAGATATGGAAGAAAATCGCCGTAAAACCGACACAAGTAAACGCACCATCACGGCATGCCTTTTCTCTAGCATGGCCGCCTCTCTTTACTCTGAGAATTCTTTCTCACCGTTTTTTTTACACTGTTGATTCTCGACTTTGAATGCTTCCAATCTTTATTAAGCGTTTCACATTCTACCACGATTTTTCGAGAGATCATCGACGAGAGGTAACGCTAAGAAAAAAGCCTGTATGTGCCTGTATATATTATATATATATAGAGTTATTTATATATATATATGAAGAAAACTAAAAAAAATAGAAGAAATAAAAAGACTCAAAAAAAAAAACAAAAAAAAAAGAAAAATTGTTGATCGAAAAAACGAGATCCCTGTCGATCAGCTCTGATAGCCGATGTGCTTTCGCACGTTTCGCAATTTAGCCATCGGCCTTCTACAACTGCCTGCTGGACATGGCGGCGGTAAATCACACCGGAAATAATCACGGAGCCGGAAGTAGGGCGAACAGTCTCGAACCGGTGATACGACCGGCCACGGACACGAAGCACGAACGACACAAAGAACACAGGGATGAGGAGGATGGGGCCTTAAGCGTTCTCGCAGCCGCCGAGCACAGACGTCAGCGTAGCATCAGGTACGCAGTTTATTTGTTAAAAGCAAAATTTATTTTTAATTCAAAAAAGAAAATAAGAGATTAGATTATTTCTACATATTGGTAAACGAATATTTTTAAAAGAACTTTTCAATATGTTGATTTTCTAAAAGACAAAATATTTATTCATATTTTAATCCTTTTGAATTTAAATATACACATAATACATAAAAATTAAGATTTTTATATATATATATATAAAATTTACATGACCATTTGGACCATGAAAACTTGATTATAGACGCCTCGCAAATTTTGAAACTGTAATTTTATATCACGTAATATGTGCTCTATTTGTCATTTATTTCTTTGTTAAGAGTATATCAGGATGGCGATTGCTCTGATTGCAGAAACAAAAAGGTGAACTGGAAGATGTCTCGCCAATACGATATACTAGGCAGCAGCGGAGAGAGTAGCCAGGGAGGGGGTGGGTCTGGGGTTGTACTCGTAGTTAATGACGAGGATCGCGCCCCCGAGCTAGAGCCATTGCTGGCCGAGGTGCCCTCCCAGCAGGATGATCAAAACAACTACTACCACGACCATCACCATCACGACCAATACTACTACGATACCGACAATGATCAATACTATGACCATCACCAATACTACCACCACTACCATCACCATCATCATGACCACCGACCACCCTCGTACTACCAACACCAGAACACCTACGCACCTCGCTCCTCGATCCGTTACCACAAGGTGTCGACTCGATCCAAGCTCAAAAAAACTTTCCTCAGTTTTTCGAGAATGTCCTTTTCTCTCTTCCTTTGACCCCCTATCGGAAATAGATCGCGATAGAAAGATCCCCATTCGTTGTTTCGAGATGCAATAAGAATCGCGATTACCGTATGTACGACACACGTTTAAGCTGTGTTAGTTCCGTAGCAACTGCACGATGTTTCTGAACTGAAATGTTCTTCAAACTATTTTCATAATCTTAATCTTCATCTTTCTTTCTGATCTATATCTTTATCTTTCTTTCTGGAACATGGATTGATATTTAAGGGGTTGGAAAATTATATTATTTTTATTATAAAATTGATAGATTTTTAATAATAATGTGCCAATTTTTATTCAACTACATTAAGTTAATCTATTTTATTTGGTAAATCAAATTTTTGAATTAAGAAATATTTATATATATATATATATCATATTTATTCTTATTTCTTTTATAAATAATACAAAATATTTTTATCTATATTTTAAAATACTATTAAAACTGATAAGAATATAGTTTGATTTTTTTCGTATAGAGAAACTTTAATACTTTATTGATATTTAAGAGATTAGAAAATTATATTATTTTTATTATTAAAGTTTATTGAAATCCAGAAACATCCTGTAATTAAATAGATCACGTAGATCGTTCTATTTTATCTGAAAACAGTTTTAGATTAGGATAACATCTCCGCGGATTTGCTCTGTTCTAAAATAAAATGCTGTCTCACACTTAGCATTGTATTAATTGTATCACCTAAACTATTTTTAGAAAAGATGTGACCTCCTTCCAAAAAATTCTTATATTATAAGATCTAGATGAACAAAAAAGATCCTTAGAGAAAAAAGATCCTTAAAGTCCTACTAGTGAAATTAGATTTCAGAAAAACGGTTAAACTCCCGCTGAACAAATCACTTATAGGTATTTAAATTAGATTAGGACAAACCGTCTTAGATAAGCCAATCGATGTTTTCTATCAATCTGAATTTCGATTTTTCCAATCCTGGAAAGAAGATTATTCAAGACATATTCGCACGGGTCGAGAGGTATTGCCCGTGATGTCGTGATCCTTGGTGCTCAAGACCGATTCGCAGTGAAATTAGAAAAAGTTTCAGTCCACGTCTGATCAGACGCTTGTTTTTACTACTTGCCGATACTGCGCATCTGCTCGCTGATGGAATCCGTCTTGGTCGAATTGGTCTTGATTTCGTCGAGTGTGTTAGCATTCCTGTAAATAATAATGACACCTAGACACACTCTAGCGCGAACACCATATAGAAAAATAGTCACATGTTTCACTTGAACGCTCTTTAGTGATATTTCTCGTGTCGATGCATAGAACAGCTCCCACCCCCTTGTCCCTTGCTGCTTTCGGCCTTAGGATTATCGCCGGAGCAACGAAGCAGTCAACACGATCGCGCGACTGCCTCGTTCTCTCCATATATCATGTTTTGTCTTGATTTTTTATGTCCACGTCCTGGTAAGTAAGTAAAAGAGCACACACTCTTGCAAAGAAGACTTCCACCTCGAAGGTAGCGAATACCTTCCTCTTTCCAACCGAGCGATCGGAATTTATCGACAAATGCATGTGCATGAGCGAAACTCTTTAAACTTGCATGTCAATTAACACACACATATGTATGTATCTCTGTGTGTGAATTATATTCTCACTCCGCCTTATCTCTCAATTTCTCCTATTTTCTTTTCTTTTTCTTCTTTTGCAAAGCTAGGTTTAACTTTGTTAGTGACAAAAGTGTATGCTGAAAAAAAAGTGAAGCAGATCGCACGTGAATGAAATTACTGTTTTTAAAATAAAAAGTAGTTTTTTCATATTCTTCTTAAATTAAATATAATTACAATAAAGAAATATCATTGTGATGTTAATTGTACAATAATAAAATTACTAGTATCAAATTCTTCAGAAATTTTATTGATGATAGTAATTTTTTTAAATAAAAATCATGTTAGTTTAATTTTTATTTTAATTGATAAATTTCTATTTTTTTCTCACTACATATTATGCACATAACATTTAACTATAGTTCTCTAATAGGAAGCCAAATAATAAATCGAACGTGCGTCTGCTTTTGAATTTTGGAGACAAAAGGCGTCTCGTCGTGTTAGTTTCTTATTCGAAACGCGCGCGAATCGAACAGCGCGATATTGCTAAAGACAAAGAACCGGCAACACCCCGACTCCCCCTTCGATTCCTGATCCGACTCTGAATTACATAGATAAACTACTAAATCGCAAGTATGTTCTCGTTTAGGAGCTGCAAGACGTCATACCGTCTGACTCACGTGCCGGTAGCCTCGAGAGTCTTACGCATCCTGGTGACAGAGTCCTTCGTCCGCATCCTTCGGCGCCTCCCCATAGACGATCACGATCGCCAAGTATAAGGTATTATAAGTATAAGGAAGGATAATATATAAGCAAAAGAGAGTCTCAAAGAAGAGCCACGTAAATTTTGCGTGCGACTTAATTACAAGAATTTCAAAAAAGAGCTATTCAGCGCGATGATCCAATAATAATTTTAGATATAAAAAAATTTGAAAATCTGATGTACTCCAAATTAAGAAATTAAAGCAAGATGTATTTCAATAAAACATATATTATTTTAGTTTAAATTAAGAAATATTTCAATTCCAAATTACTGAATTAAGGATGACAAGTGATATCTTCAGTTATCCAATATTTGATTATTATAGATATGGCTAACATATTGGCTGGATTATATACTACATGACATATGTGTGTGATTTTTCTCATTTGTCGCCGTCATAATTTGCAGAAGACACTCGCCAATAATGCCTAGATCGCCATCGCCAAGGCGACATGGCCGATATGATCATTACCACGATGGACCAGGGTTTAGCGATACCGTTAGCAATGTCGTCGAGATACAAAGGCACACTCAACATCCCCATGCGTCACAGTATAATCATCGGCATAGGATACGAGGTACGACGTACCGGCGATAATTCCGACCAGCGAAAGCCACGACGGTGCAACGATAAGTCTTTCTCACGGAACCACGACCGCGAACTCTGTTTCGTGTCGGTCATCTCCAACCGGTTTTTTTATCTCGTTGTTTTTTATCAGAGCCTGAAATATACTACGAACACAGCATCCTTGTATTTTACTCTATCTCACCGTATCACCGATACCTTCATTCTCTTGATGTTATTTCCATTATATAATTATGATTGATTATGATTAACTCCAACCGGCTTGGTGATATTTATCCTATCGTTTCAGACAGCGTCATTGGATATACGCCGTTTTCTAGAACTAATTGAAGAATTGTTAATTATAAATTTTTGTAGATTTTTTTGTCAATCAGAAAGCGACGAAAGAGAGTTCGTGGTCACGGTTTTCTAAGAACATGAATGTTGCTATAATGTTGATTTTACTCGAGGCAGAAAAGCTCTGTGTGATACTCGATGTAATACGTTTCTTCGTTCTGTTCTGTTATGCGCCTACACAGACTATTACGACCACTGCGACTATTACGACGATGGTAATTTCTTTCACAACTCTCCTCTTCTTCATTCCCTTGTCTCCACGATGCAATTATGATGTTACTACATAATCAATACGATCGTTTGGCTTTCACCATTTCTTCATTTCTGTTCTGCGATGATACATACTCATGCATATACATAGATGACACATACGTATGGATACATTTACATACACGCAAAAGACTTCACAGAACACAAATCTACATAGTAGACAACTTTTCAAACAATTGATATGTACAATACTCACAGCACCAGTGTTCATCATACATTGAAAGCGTTTCTCTGTTAATTGCTACTCGATGCTTTTTACTATTAGAAACGCTATTGAAATTGTCAAATAGTTCTAGAAATGATCAAGAAAATTAACTAATTGGTTGTTATAAATTATATTAGATTGCTACTAAAATTTATTAGTATGTTTTCATAACACATGTTTAGTTTTTAAATGCAATTCACAAATATAATTCTTGTATTATAAATTGTTAATATAATGCATATTTGAAAGATATGTATATGCCAATCATATTGTTACATGATACTTAACATTTTGGTTTTTAAATAATCATATTGTTACGTCCATCATTCTGTCATTCAATGAAGAAATATCTGAAAGTCTGAACGACGCGCGGCTTTTACAGTTTAATTATTTTAATTTACAATTTAATTTTTACAGTTTAATTATTCACTTTTGCCTTCTACTGAATTAAATTGTGTTCTGTTGTATTACACACATTTGGCATCTGGTTAATCTTCTAAACCAGTCTATTTTTTTTGCGCGAGTGCAAGAACATCCTCCATAAATGGTGCTCGGGCGTAACAGTATGAAATATAGAATGCAATAGTGAAATAATTTAGCTCGTCTGCAAGAGAATTAGAGAGTTCAAGGAATTTGCACAATAACTATTTAGACTATCACGATTACTGATGCACCCCCGTAATTTAGTAATTTAATATCGTAGAATATGTGCGCATGCTACGTTAGATGCCTTATAGAATTTAAACACGTCAATATCTAGAGCATCAGCACAAACATATGTTTGCAATATTGATTTGAGTGATTTCGTAACATTATGGACATGAAACATCACGAGCATGTTGCATTAATCCTCCTTCTTGACAATTTCAAAATAATTAGCACACATTTGGGATCTCTTTTATTAATTCCGAAAAATCGTATTACAAGTCATAATGATCAATTTCACAAAATGTAGAAATTAGAGAAATTATGTGAATATATTAAATTAAGTTATGACACAAGTAAATATAGTCAGTATTCTTTCTTGAAAAAAATAATAGTTAACCTTACAGAAGGTTAATTACTGTTAATAGAGCTGTACATTATGTTACAATAGTATCATTAGTTCATCAATCCTGAATCCTTTCCGACAAATCGAATTCTTCGACTTTCGCACAGAGACTGAGTGATCGAACCGAAATTAATTTTGTTCCATTGTAAACCTTTTACATAATAGAACAAACAAGTAATATTGAAAATTATTATCTAAAAATTATCCGATTTCTAATATCCGTATCAACTTTCCAACTTCCCGGCTTTTCCACAACCTTGTTACACGCTTACGATTTACTTGTCAACCCTTGCGTCGTGTGTCAAAAAAGCCCGAACGATTGTGCCACTGAAGCATATACAATGTACCTCGAGAGACTTTAACGGACATGTTCATTAGGTCCATGGAGTGCCTCGACGAGTCCAGCTAGGTCGCCAAGCCCGGTTCATAGGATCGAGCGCGGTGGTCATTACGGCACGACTAGTCTGGAGCAGCGTTCGAGGAGTCCAAGCCCCATAGGCGGCGGTCGTCCGCATCACCATCATCACCGTCATCATCCGCATCAACACAGCTATCCGGTGCTGGTCGCGAGGAGAGGCCAGGGTCGCCGGTTGCCGCCGACGCCGAACAAGCCGTCGACCCTGCAATTAAAACCGGCCAACATCAACTTCCCCAAGCTGAATGCCTCACCCACCCATGGACCGCACGGCATGGCGCCAGCTCATGTGCCTGTGGGACCCGTACCTGGCCATGTGCTGCAGCACCCGCATCCGCCGCCGCACATGCCACCTAGCATGCAGCCGAGCCATCATCCCTTGAGTTTCGAACAGGCTGTCGCAATGGGCCGCGGCGGTCGGCTACTGCCCAGCCCGGTGCCCAATGGTTACAAACCGCAACCACAATCTAAACAAAGAGCACCTAGGTAAAGAGTTCTTATCGCATGTATGATCTTGTATCATTAGCTATAAATAAGCTTTTATTATTAATCTTTGTTTATTTTTTTCAAGGCGTTTCTTCTAAGACATTTTAAAGTTCTAATTAATTTCATAGTAGACCCTTTAGAAATTGTCTTAATTCATTTGCTAATGTGTCTTTGGAATATATAATCTATCCGCTTTGCTCCAAACTGTAACGACGAGTATTGATTGAACGGATAATGTTTTTGCAGGACGAGGCACTCGGACAGTGACGAGGACGATTGGTGCTAGCCAAAGTGGGACCCTGGACGGTGGTCCGGTGACGTGGACGCCCCCAGGCGTCTCAGGGTTTGCGCGTGATAGTTGTCCACGTGGGACGCACACTGATTTCGGTGTGAAAGTAAGGGAGGAAAGTGCCGTGGAAGTTGACGAAGCTTTAAAAGGCTTCTTCCAAGTCTCGACTGACCAAAGAATGTTTCCAGTTTGAAGGATTTATTCCGGTCATAACATTGCGGCATGTATTCCGGCATATTGGTAACCGAAAGAAGTCTAAGAGGATTGAACAGGGAAAACGATTCCAGGCGAATAGTGTTCGGACCGATCTCCGATGGCTGAATATGACGACCGAACAGGGTCAGCAAATACACCAGAGAAATCGATTTCTCGCGAACACAGAGAAAGTCGGCGAGTTATCATTTACGTATCGACGTCGTACGAATCCGCGAACGAGAAGAAATAGCGACGCTAGCGATTCTACGGATCGATCGAGCAATCAAACGGTTGAGCTCGGCGTGAGATCTCGAAGATTCGATCTTGGAGATTGGATCAAAAGAATCAGAAACGATCGTCTGGTGGGATCATTCGAAAGATGAAATCCATCCGATCACACTCGAGGACGCTCTACATTGGTGTGAACGACGTAGCGAAGATGGATCACTCGAGATCGCGAGCGATGGTTTACGTCGAGAGACAAGGTGGTGGGTTGCAGTGAAAACTCGTCGTGCGCGACAGTGATAGAATAATTAACGCGGACGTTCCGGGAGAGCTCGAACCTCCGATATTATACGCGAGTTAATATTTCAATCTTACCTCGATCGAGCGGAGATCATTTCGGGAGAGACTTACTTTTTATACAATTTTTCGGAGGAGAGACTCATCGAACGCCCGAATTGCGCTGTGATCACCACGAAACGTTCTCTTATGTGCGTGTATGTTTATGCGTGTATATCCGTACGATTCTGTGCGTGTATGCTTACGAAAACCCCCTTCCCCCATGATTTGTCGGAAATCGCGACTGATGTAACCGAATTGTTCCACTTCCACTCGTGAAAGCGCCGATTAATAAGTAATGTTAATTCAACGACGATGTTAATTGAGGCAAGGAAATGGAAAGGAAAATAACAGTTGGGGTTTCAATAAAGTCTATGATTTTCGGTTTTGAGAAGGAATTTGGAATAGATAGTACAATTTGAAATGTATGATGAAGTTTCATTTCGAACGTTTCGTTTTTGTTTGCTGTGATCGAACGATCTTTTGTTTGTCGGGAAACTTAGCCGCGCAAATAAAATCGACTGATGGAAGTGGATGTTTCCCGACAAATCAAGTAAGAAATCATTAATGAAAGGGTTAATAGGATTAGAAGTTAGATCGAGGCTCGAAACAGAATTATAATTGTTCTGTCGAGATTCAGGTCAGCTTTATTTTATCATTAGCGAGATCGTGCGTAAACGATTCTCTAATGAAACGCGAATAATCGGAGAGACGCGCAAGAATCGCCACTATGAGATATCGATATTGTTCGCAGTTGCGGTTCTTGTCAAATCGAAAATGCGAGACGATTGTAGCGGCCGTAAGAGCAACAACAAGTGGAAAGGGGAAGAAACTGAACGCGAACGTCGTCGTTGATTCGCGCGGATATTGCCTCGCGATTCGTGCCAATCAAGAGAAATTAGGAAAAAATTCAGGAAATGAGGACCACGATCGAGAAATACGCATTTGGAATACGGAATGAGAATAGTAAATGATGATCATCGCGAGATATTAGGGGGAAGATGTGTAAAAGAGAAAGAGAGAAAGAGAATGGGCAACATAAAGAAAAACAGTTCTTACCATACGGTTTTCAAAAGCACTCCTGTAAATTACTGCGTATAATTGAATTACAATACTTATTACTTATCACTGCTAATACCGTTATTAAATTAACACCCACAGAAAGAGATGAAAAACAGCTACTTCACTCTATTATTACACTATTAACCAACTATTGCTACTACCATTACTATTATATTACGATTTATTACCGCTACTACCACTACTACTACTGTTATTGTTACTACTACTATTACTATTGCTGCTGCTACTATCACTACTACTATTACTCTATTATTACAACTATTACTATTACTAAACTACTTCTACTATCGTCGCTACTAACGCTGTTTACTATCATTACTGTAATACTAAGTGTGCTAATTACCGAAGTGCGCGATTCGTGAGAAATAAACGTGAAACATCACTTTACGTAATTAATTTGTCTTCAAGCTCGTGAATTACGCCGTCGATTTAAACGTGCATTTATACGACGGACGACAAAATAACAAAGAAAAATAAAATAGAGAGAAGCCGAGAGAATTATCCGCAAAACGAAAGCTCTAAACGAGCGTACATATTCAAACCAAGATTAACATAATAAAGAAGAAAAAGAATTATATATAAAGACATGTTTAACATACTGCCACTCGTACGGGATGTTTTAAGCGGAAACACATACGAGAAAATGTAGGTGTACATAAATGTACGTCGTTTCTTTTTTTTTTTCCTGTGACAAGTATAAATATTACGATATATCTGTACGTAAGTAAGTGTACATACCCGATGAGCGAAAAAGAGGGAGAGAAAGCGAGAAAACAAAGAAACGAGTGAATGAATGTAAAATAACTGAATCAATAAATTTAAGAAGCGAAGCAATTCGGATAATATGATTATCAATAATCGTCAGATGATGATTTTTTTTTTATAAAGTATTTTTATTTTATTTTTGTTTCTTATATTCTTGTTTCTATATTTATTTATTTTCATTTAATTAATTTATTATATAAATTTATTATATAAAGGTAGCTATGATATTTTTAAGAAAAATGTGAGAGAAAACAGAAGAAGACCCGATTTACTTCGTTTCTTAAATAATTCGAATGATTTCCGACGCTGCTCTGTGCTTGTTGCGTAATTTTTGTGTATCGGTTAAGTCAAAATAAACGAGAATATTGCCATTACATAACGACATTAATTAATGTAAGTAGTTAATTCGAAAAGAAATGTGTGCATGTATCGGAGAAATTAATGTGGAGAGAAAGAATAGAATGAAAAATGAAAGAAAGAATGATTGTCTTTTCAGCATGATCGGTATATAAAGATCCTTGGTGAATGGACGGGCGTTAATCATCGAACTTGTTTGTATTATTCAGCGATTAAAAATTTAACAATACATGATAAGATCAATTTTTCCAAAGAAAAGACTATAGACTTATCCAATCGCTTTAATATATTGTCTAATATACATATATATATATATATATATATATATATATAATAAAATAAAATAATAAATAAA